GAGAAACAGGACACAGAGGCGAACAAGGAGATGGTGATTAAAACTGTGCACAAAATCTAAGCAAGGACACAAAGCGAGAGTGACAACTAGAGAAAAGGCACAAACTGAGAGAAAAAGAGGGAGGTGAGCCAAACCAGGCAGAGGCAGACAAAGTTTGACAGCTAAGGGGAAAAGGGGCATCACACACATAGTAGAGACACTGACAAAACATGACAGAAAAATTACATCGCTATAATTTAGGCCTACAGTACTTCTACTCTACAAGCTCGCACAAATTAAAATGACTTTTTAAATCTAATTCCACCTGTTCTTGTACCATAATAACCCAGCAGTTTTAGCCATGATGATGGAAATTCACACTATGAGCTCCACAGTTAAAATACAGAGACCAGGCAGAGCGAGGACGCAGGTGCAGTTCTCCATCAAAGAGGAGTCTTTGTAGCTCTGCTAAGCCGGGAATGATTATCCAGGGTTAACACTGGCATTCCCAAAAAGCCTGAAGGGCACATGAAACAAATATAGTCAAAGACAAAAATGTCAAAAGTTATCAACAGCTCCCTGCTTTATGGAAAAATGAATTTTACTTAGTGCCAAAACAATCTTCTTTGTATTCCTGAAGACTTGGATCTTTATGTTAAAACATTTGGGTCTAGAGAACAGTCGGAAAGTCTAAAAAAGGGGCAAAGGAACACTGGAGGTCTTAAAAAAATCTGTCACTATTACTTTTTTAAATGATTTAATATCATTCTCTCTGCAGCCAGCAGAGTGAAGCTACTGTCTTGGAGATGAACCTTATTCACTTATATAACTGATCTGACCTTTTGCTTTTTGCTAATCTACTCTGGAACTGTCTGGACTGTTATAAAGGAGACACCTATCAATCTTCATTTACACTCGCTCAGTCCAAGCCAATCTTGTTTATCTTTCATTTACCTTGTTAGCAGGAAAACATGAGCATTCAAAAACAGGTGGGCTGGGTTGGCGTGGTGCGACGGGACTCATGCTAATTACAACAGCTGGCACAGGCACTTCTGTTGACTTCCACCCATGCACTACACTTTCTTTCAAGGTTAGGTGCACATGTGGAGAATATGAAGAACTGTGATGAAATTAGATTGAAACAATTAATCACACAGGACGTAAAATGGTAGTAAAAGGATAAATACCCTTGTGAAAAAGACATAAAGACAAAAAACAGAGATTATCATATTACAGAAATAATTCAATTAAGAAAATATATTTAAAGGTGCTATATGTACTTTTTAGCGGTCTCTATCAGTGATGTTTCACATTGCAACCAATTTTTACAAGAGAGCTTGTGCTCTTACACGTGCTCGAACACAAGAGCGAGCACTCATGGTACACGGCCTGAGACTTTTCCTTTCTCGGTCTGATTCTGCCTCAAATTGACACTGCAGTATCGACACCATTATTTACATGATTGGACTGGAGCGCATGCACGTTTCGCCCGTAAAGGTAATGGCGTTAACCTTCCGGACAACGAGAGCGACAGTTTAGCCAATCACCACACACCGGCCCAAACTAACCAATCTGAGCCCACTGCCTGTTTCTGAGGGAGTGGTTTCATAGAATCAGGAAGTCAACCAGTCGTTCAGAGGACAGAGGATAGCACGGCTTACAATAAAGGTGTTTATGTTAAAAAAAGTTGAATAAATAAGAATAAGACTTTTAAGAAAAGAACAACCACGAATACATGTTATATTGCACCCCATAAACAGAACCATGCAAAGAAAAAAAAAAGTAAACCACCCCTTTAACAATTTTTATTTGTGAGTGAACAAATCATTTAAAGGGAAGATGGGGAAAACATGAGGAAAATAACAGGAAAGAGAAAGAAGAGATTAATTATCATAATTCTTCTATCTAGCAACCGGTCCCCTGTGTTTATGTTTAGCATACCACTTGATAAAATGCATAAATATTTATTATTTATGTTTCCTGCCCCTGTCTGTCTGACTTTAAATTGCTTCAGAATAATTTTAAGAATGTGTGCAAAGACTATGTTGGTTTTTTTAAATGTTGTGCTAATTAAATGTACCTCTTTTGTTGTTAATTTGTTTGTGTCTGGTATAAAAAAAGCTATATTAAAGCCGTTTAATATTGCTCCCCATTGCTGATTCTTTTTGAATAATCTCGGGTTGGCATAATGATATGTTTTGCAATGCAAAATACTCACATATTGCTTGTTGTTAGACTAGCTGTGAAAATATATAAGGGAGGGGTTTCAGGCTTCAGTTCTTTGTTTAATTCTCAGACAGTCGCTGCCATTTGCTCATGTTGTATAAAAACTCCAGAACTCCAGACAACCTGTGCTTGACTGTACGGTGTTTTGTTATTTGCCATTGCTGTTTTAATTCAAAGCCAGGAGAGAGGCAGAGAGCAGATGTGCATCACAAAACACAGGATACAGACCAACAGATCAGATTCTGTGTGAAGAATCCCTTATCAAGGCAGTGGAGGGATCCTTTGTATTTGCATATTGCTTTTTACATTTAGTATAGATCTCATTAACCTGTGCTGAATCTGGCAGAAATTCATCGGCCTTCTGTCACACGAAGAAGCCGTCTCCTTTCGCTTTTCATCAGATTCTCATTCTCTTCTATCAGTGGTTGCATTAGAGATGGTGGAATGTATCTTGTGAGATGTCAAACTCTGCTGGAACTGGAAGAGAAGCCATAATTACACTGATTTTGCCTCCATTTGTGGACACATGCGGTGAGCACATACAGTACCAAGAGTGCAGAAAGAAATTATGCTAAGATTATATGCATTCATAACTAATGTGATGTTAAGTGTGTTTCTTTTGAAAGACTGCGGCATAAAAATGGGATGAATACAAGTTACAGGTAAAGTGAGACAACAAGTAAATTGCGAATCACATTTTTTTTGTATTTAATATTTCCCATTTCTACTGTATAATGTATTGGAGAATTCTGGCCTTTCACACAATAAGTAAAAAGTATAAGGTATAAAGTATAAGGTAAAAAAAGGTAGCTGTTGCCAAAAATTTACGATAAAAATACAGTAACATCATATTACATTTTACAAATTTAACTTAAAGACAAGTATTTTACAATTAAAGCCCTGTTTTAAGATTGTTTCTGATGAAATAGAATGGTTAGGATTGTTTTTTAGACAAATGCTGCTGTCACGAGAATTTTCGAATTCTGTATGAACAATCCTTCATAAAAACGCATAAAACTTCAGTTTACAAAGACGTGAAACTCACTCGTCTGGGGTGTTCACTGATATGCTCACACACAAATCACTGCAAATTATGCTTTCCAACAGCTTTTATCGTGACAGAATTTTCATTTTTGGGTGAACTAACCCTTTAATTGTAAAATACCAAACTTGTCCTTTAAGTTTACACTTTTAAGTTTACCGTTTAAAAATACTGAAAAGAACACAAAAACCCACATCATGACTCAAAGTTCATCAGTAACTTTTCCACAAATTGAAGTAATAATAGACGTCACAGAAATACAAAACAAAATCAAGGTAACACACAAGATACTAAAATAATGCAACAAATGAATGTATCATCATAAAACCCTAATATACATAACTGAGAAAAAAAAAACGAAGAAAAAACAAATGTCTTGTTACTTTTTTCGCTATAAATTGTAAATCTCGTGTTTTTCTCTTCCAAAAACGTCTCATTAGATAAATTGCAGTTTTTCACTGTGAGGGAACTTTTGTTTTGTCAATTTTGTTTTTGTCAAACAGCGGCCCCTAGAGTCGCTGTAGAGTAAGTGTATATAATGTTATTGTCGTAAATACCACTCATGCAGAGCGTCTCTGTCATAGACTGGTCTCTGGACTCAGCCTGATACCCATTTGAAGCTGTTATATTAAGGTACAAATCTTGCATAGTGTGCATTTTTTTTTTTTTTTTTTTTTTGCATTAAATAAGCGCTAAAATGTGTTTTTGAACTCAAGCTGAGCACTCATGTCCGCTGCTATCAGTGTCATGGATACATAGAGTCTCTTGTGGCGGCGCGCGCACAGTCTTCACTCAGACGCGATTTTCAAATCTATCACAGTTGTGGAGACTCTCAATTCATTCCAGTGAAATCACAAAATAAAATGCACAAAAACGTGTCCCTGCTTGATATAGACTGTAACCACCATCGTTTTGATGAGAGAAAAAAAACGTAGAAACTGTAACCTCTGACATGCTTGTCTACCACTAGACCATTAAAGAACTCAAAAAAAAATTGCGGATTGATGCATTTATTTACGGGTTGAGCAGAGAAGCTCATTCTCTTTTCCTAGTCTCTTCCGTACGCGTTTTCTTTGCTTTTTCCATCGTCGAGTATCACGTCTGAAATGCGCGCAAGTGTCTTCGTGCTTCATGTTGTGGTTGATGTGCGTGATGTCGTTGCCGTAAAGCATGTTGTGATTCTCACGAGATTTGTCGGGGGCGCTCCACTCAAACTTACATTGCTGGTTTTTCCAGCAGCGTCCCCCCCAAGCTTTACTACTATAGGATGATTTACCATACTCTGAGTTTGTTTACCACCGAAATGACTTTGAAGCTGTTATATGAAGGTAAAATTCTTGCATAGTGTGCCTTTAACCACTTTTTACTGTACAAAAGGTTTTAACAGTGGCATTTTTTACAGTCGTTCAGTGTTAAAGTTGACAAGAAATGGATGTTGTGGTAGTCTTTTCTTTCATGTTGTGACAAGTATCCAAGTTACACAGCTTCTTGAATAACAAAAAAATAAAATTAAAAAAATGTAGGCCGGGACATGGTTTTGTCCATCGGAAATCGATTGGATCTTTGTGGTTTGCTATTGCTGTGAACTCAAACTCATGACAGCATGTCCACGTGAGTAAACACGTCATCAGAGAAGAGAAGAGATGCATTGTAAGAAGGAGGGGAAGGTATTTTGATTAAAGATTATGAGGGCAAATGAAATGAATAATGATATTCATGGATTAATATTTGAAATCCAATATACATACCATAAAAAAATAAATATCCATTTCTGATTTCCGAGCAGATTGACCCCGAGAAAGTTATAAGCCCTTGAAGACCTTTTCCCACCAACTTCTCCTGTCATGAATTCTTAGCGTAAAGTTTAAGCCCTGTGGATGTTGTTGAACAGAAAAACAGAGTGAGAGAAGAAAAGTAAAAATGTAAAAAGTAAAATAAATAAGTGGATCAAGCATCAACATTGCATTTCAGACTGCGGCGATTGACTTAGGGGGTTTGGGATTCCTTTCAGGTCATTAAGCATTTCATCAGGCGGCGTGGAGAGCACGAGTCTTGCTACTGCACACACGTTTCCAAGTTCTTCACGGGCTCCAGATTTGCCCCTTCAGCCTCTCACATTGGCATGTGTAAAGAAAGGTTTCACATGTGCCCATGCCAGATAGACAGCCAGGTTTGACCAACTAGACCAGAGGGTTGACTAACTAAGATCTGGTCCCATCTGGTGGCCTCCTAGTCATATAGGCCCAGTTTGGACTTGGACTAAATTTATAAATTTCAATATTTCTCCTACTAATCCAACCAATGTGCATGTAAAAGACATTAAGGATAAAAAAGTCTATGTTTACCATAATGAAAGTTTCTAGTGTGTTGAACATTTTATTTTTGACAGATTATGCATTAAACACACTGTAAAAGCATTGTGTTTTCATTTATTTAATTTATGATTTATCTTTTATATTTTAAAGATCTGTAATTTCTAGATTTCTAAATTTTTATTAGTGGTAATTAAATTCAAAGTGGGCTTAGTATTACTTCGTAATACTGTACTTTTATGCAAAAGTTTTAACTTTAGCACCTTGATTTCACTTTTTAAACAAGGCAGCAAATAAACCTCAGTTTTCAATTTTAGTGAGCTGAAATTGTCTCAGTGTATGTTGGCAAAAAAGATGCAGGTGTTTCTGTGCATATGATTCCATTTCAGAATGATTTTGTGTGTAATTTAATTTATGAGATAACAATTGAACTGACAGTTTGAAAAGATAATACAAAAAATAAATAAATAATAAACAACGCCCACACAACACCAATCCAAAATGCAACAAAGTGATGTGCATTTTATAGAATTATGAAATATTAATGTCATATTTTAAGAGAAAAAGGTATCATCTTGTCAACGTTATCTGACAAATTGATTTTAATTGATTGATTACAATTAATTTGCTCTTAGCTGTCAATGGTGCAGAAAACGTTACCATCTTAATATTGTTGACAGGTTTAAAGGCCTCTAAAGATGGCTTGTCTATATAGGTGCAACAATACTGAATGTGAGCCAGGGAATATTACTATTAAAGGGGTCATATGCACTTTTTCAAGTCGATTGTACTGAAATATGTGTTGGCAGTGCCTGTACACAACCATCATATAATGATAAAAATCCATCCAGTGTTTTTGTTTTAATCTCCTTATATGTTTTCCCCTGCCTCAAATTCATGACCCGTTCGTTTTTGTGACGTCACATGGTTGGACGCCCCCCCCAGGATTGTTGATTGACAGCAGCGTTTCAACACATGCTAACCCTGAGCGAGCTGTCATCATAGTCCGCCATTGTTGATATGCTGAAGCAGAATGGCGTTTTAGCGATTGTGGTGTTCTGTTTTTGGGTGTAAAATCGAACACAGTCATTTTGATGTTCCTAAATCTGAACCGCTGAAGATCCAATGGCTGAGTTTTATTTTCGAAGGGAATATTCCCCACGAGCAACGACAATGCTTTCATGTTTGCACAAATTATTTCTCACCAGATTGCTCTATAAACGAGGATCACTATAAAGCTGGTTTTGCTAAGAAGCTGCTCCTGAAAAAAATCGGTACCCACAATTTATGTCTCTGCTGCACCTCCAGAAGAAGTGAGTGTAAAATTATATATTTTATCTTTGCAAATTGCTTGTACGCTTAACCATGAATGCGGCTAGGGTTTACACTCAGGGTACATTACGGCATGTTTTTGTATGTACGACGTTCTCAATATAATTCATAATCCCATGTTTATAATGAACAGCGCGTTATGTTTATTATGTTATTACAAACTGAGTATGTATACAACAGTAAACACATAGCGTTCGTACATCTCACTAAGTTACTCTATCCTGCCAGTAAACAAAGATAGATCGTAGTGACATTGTGTTAACCAACCATTCCAAAACGTCCTGTTCAAGCCTAAATTGTCAACTTACTTCTTTGCGGCCGTCTTCTTGTTCCAGGTCCAACTCCGGTTCAAAATAAGGTTGCACAGATGTGTCCTCAGAGACTCCCACTGCCATACTGTTGTTAAGGCATCACTCCACGTGCATTGTCAAAACTGCAGAACGGAAGGGCGGAGTCAGCGAAGCTCATTATCATTTAAAGGCATATGCACTAAATGTCATGCTGAAAAAAGAGCTGTTTTTGACCAGGTAAAATTAGTGTTTTCTAATACTAATGAGATTTTTTTTTTTTATTATTAAATTATATTACAAACTTTTCATTTAGACCCTAAAGAATCAAATTAACTTGTATTAAAATGGCATTATACTCTTTAATAATAGCATCCAAAGTGTGTGTGTGTGTGTGTGTGTGTGTGTGTGTGTGTGTGTGTGTGTGTGTGTGTTTAAATCATTTTCAGCACCCATAATTTTAAAATGCTGATTAAAAATTAGTATTACCATAGAGTGAATATCATACCTAAATATGAATGGTATACACATAAACAACATTAATTTCATCAACGTGAAGACTAACAATATGCCAAAGATGATAATATTTTATTCTGAGTGTGATTACTTGTATATAGCAGAGGGGGGCACCCAAGGTAACAATATGTAATGCCCAGTAGTTCCTGGTGATACAAAGAGCGTCCACAGGGGGGCGTCGCAGAGGTCAATCTCAGTGTCCACTAAGAGTTGCACAAACCACATACAGTAGTGAAGATGAGAGAGCACATAATGTGTCTTTAAAATCCAGAACTAGGAATCAGAGAACAGAGTTATGTTTGTTGACTGTAAAAGAACAATACATTTGTGCGTTAATATATTGATTAAATATTGAAGAGACAAATGTGGTATAGAATTAAATGAAAACAACGATATTCACTACTGTTTTGATGAACATTAAAACTATAACATTGCAAGTACAAAAATGACACTGGACACATGATTTGTAAGTTATTGCAGACTGCTGAACATTATACTGTTTATATTCCAGAAGTGTCCTAGATTTGAATGCAGTGCGTTTTAATGGAATTTCAAAAGCATTGCTCGAGGGAGAACCAAAACACTCAATTGTGGAGTGGGACTAAATGTTATTTAATTCAATTATAAATATGCATATTTGCTGTGAGGGAATTACCATTAACCATGACACACCAACATTTAATGGCTAATAAAATAGCCTTCTATTAGCCTATATTGTTCAATTCATTATAATTATACATATAATCTAGCATTTTGGGCTGGAAAACAGCTGGAACAATATTTACTGTAACATTGAAGAATGAGGCTGCAGCAATTCACATTGAATACTCGAGTGTGTAGGCCTACTTTTAAAATATTCCGTGTGACAGGACTAAATGGGTTAAGTATACAGTGCAAATGAATGATTCTTCATTTAGGAACACTGTTTACTCTTCGCTTGTTAGCTCTTAGTAAATATACATTAAATCTTTAAAAAATATATTGTCGCAATAGAAATTTAATTTGGAAAGATTCTTTGTTATTAATATGATGTGAAATTATGGATTGTTTAATGAAATTATTCTGTTCTGATTTTAGCACTTTTATGTATTTACTTTAGAGGGAAAATTGTACTTTTCCAAATGTACTTTTCAACACTACCACAATTAAATTAAAGAGACACTATGAAAAAGTGAAGTTATTGTAATTACCCTTTTAAAACCATAATACAGAAAAAAAAATCATAAAGTGGGATACAAACCTTTGTCTTGTGTTGATAAAGGCAACAGCCCAACAGGAGCAGATAGGAGGAGTTTGCGTTGCATCATCATTAACCGCGTGACGTTGTCAATAACTCACAACTCAACTCAACGAGGAAAGTTAAATATTGAGAAGTGGGTATGGTGAGCTGAAACTTTGTAAATGAGATCAATCACTGCTTCATTCCGACAGCAGCTTTATCCACTGGCAAGGTGAGAGGCTCCTTCCAGCAAACAGCCAGATTCACCAGCACAGCTGAATGGCTTACAATTTCAAAACTCTTGGCTTTCCTTTGCTTGCGTAATTGGAAAATATCACGTTTGCATATGATGAGCTGCGTCGGTTCATGAGAACGGCTTTTAAATGTCCAGTGATAGAGACTCACATGTGACCCGCCTTGATCCCCTCCACGCGGAATGTGCTGAAGACATTGACGAGGAGAGGATGAGAACGGGTGAAGCTCCAGCCCCGCGCAGGCTCAGCCGCAGCCCGAAGTGCGCTCGCTGCAGGAATCACGGCGTCGTGTCGCGCCTCAAGGGCCACAAGCGCTTGTGTCGCTGGCGTGACTGTCAGTGCGCGAACTGTCTGCTGGTCGTAGAGAGACAGAGAGTGATGGCAGCACAAGTCGCCCTCCGGAGACAGCAGGCCACAGAGGTTGGTTCGCTGAGCAGGGTAGTTTAAATCTTTCTGTGTGCTCCGGTGGAACTAAAAATGTTGTTATTTGCAAACAAAGTGACAGTGTTTTGTTGAATCATTGAGCATCTGGGTACTTGCCTTGTAGACCTGAACTTCAAACTTTTTAGCAAGCCTATAGGCTACTACAAATTATAGGTTATATAGCATACAGTATATAACAAGTATTTCATTTATTAGAATTTTATGTATATATTATTTTAAATTACAATTATGTATATATCGAGTCATATTTAAATTATATACTAATACATATAATTATGTATTAATGCGTAATCATGTTTCTACAAAAGAAACAAAAGATATGTCTGTTACATAGAAGTTACTTATAAGAAAATACTGTGGCAATATCATGGTGTACTGGTATTACATGGTAGTACCATGATGGTACCATTATACATAAAATGAAACTGAATTATACTGTTCATTTACAGTACAGTGGTATTTACAAAATACTTTAAAACACTTCAAGGAATACCCTGGTACTTCAAACTATTGTATGGTAATTCTGATCTTGTTGAACTGTGACATAATATCTCCAAATGCAAAAATGCTTTACAGCGATTTTCAAAAGATACTATTGTTACAAAATAAAGTTTTATCTTTATCAATTTGTCACATAATGATTGAGAGCAAGCAACATGAATGTATTGCATTTGAGTAGTAATTCATATGCAGTTATTTAAAAGTTTTTTTTTTTTTTTTTTTGAAAAACAAGACATCCCCTGGAGTCTTTATCTATCCAATGAATTAATGCTGTGTTGTACATTCTCTTTGACAGGGCAAAAAAGGTAAAAAAAATACCTCTGTTCTCCGACGCACAGCTTACCAGCGCTACACGAGGACACCTAGTCTCCTGGCAAAGAGTATTCTAGAGGGTAAGCCTTAATTAACGCACATCTCATTAACACAATTGCACCCTGAAAGGCGACATCGGGAGAAACTGGATTAGTTCACCCGTTATGCTACAGAAGACTCTGTTGGGAATAAATCTGTTTATGTTTATGTAAGGTAATTAAAATTATGCAAATGGAGAGAGGAATTAAAAAAAATGCCTCATATAACTGCTTTGGAGTTTGAGTTTCCCTGATGTGTTTCTCACTGTCAACATTAAGGTCAAAGTGATTTTATTGTTATAATAAATTTGAATACACTTAATGTGTTTTTGTTCAGTGAGAGTATTTAAAGAAGTTCTACTTTTTACTTGATAACTTGATATGTCTATGATATGTATTTTTAATTCATTCATATGATTTGTACACAATATTTCACAGTAAATGCATTTGAGCAGTGGTGCTCAAATGTGTCAGAACAAAAAAAATAATGGTCAGCACAGAGAACTAACCATATAATCATACATAGTTAAGATTGTACAAAATGGCATAGCACTTATCATGCTTTCTATTTATTGTTGACATCAATAGCTCTGCTTTTTCTTTTAAAAGAAAACCGGAAGAAGTAACAGTAAAGACATTTATAGTCACAAAAGATTTGTATTTCAAATTATTAATACAAACTATTAATCAAATAATTCAGAAAAAAATGCATCACTGTTTCCCAAAAATATTAAGCAGCACAGCTGTTTTCAACATTGATAATAATAAGAAAATATGCTTGTGCACCAAATCAATATATTATGATTTCTGAAGGATCATGTGACACTGAAGACATGGAGTAACTCAGCTTTGCCGTCACAGCGATAAATTATATTTTAAAATCTATTAAATAGAAACAGTTATTTTATATTGTAATAATATTTCAATGTTTCATCAAAGTATCTCAGTATATATATATATATATATATATATATATGTAAAACAGTTTAATCTGCTAGACTCTTCTAAAATGTATAGATTTAAATGTGACTCTTGATCGTCCGTCACACTGTAGGCTACAAGCCCCCTGTGCTGGAGGACTGGCCAAAGAGACTCAACCAACCCCCAGTTAGTGTTCGGATGAGGAAGAGGAGAGCGTTTGCTGATAAAGAGCTGGAGACTGTGATGCTGGAAAGAGAGCTGAGGCAAAGAGAGATGGAAGAGTTGCCTGCGCTCCTCCTCCAGGCTGTGGTGCCCTCCGTTCCCTCTCCCTATTTTTTCCCACTGTCAGACCCAATCATGCCCACGTACATGCCTGTGTCTAAAAGCGGCCCACCTTTGACTGACTGTGATCTCCCTTTCCGTCAGCAAGTGCTTAAATCCAAGACTCTGGACTGCAGCACAGACACACTGACAGACAGCATCTCTCTAAGAGTGTGTGAGAACTGGGATATTTTCAGTACGATTCAGCCTTACAGCACAAGCCCAGGTGTCAACATATTTAAAAACATGCCGGACAGCGGGTTTTCTGATATGTCTGTCAAACCAAAAATTGTAGTTGCTGACATAATGTCAAAGCAAGACATCCCTCCCTCAGTGAATATGGCAAACATGCTGGTACAAGCTAAATCACCACACAAATGCTGCAGGTCATTGGGACACGTGGACTCTGTGGAGGGTGCAAATAAAGACCCCATCAAAAAAACAGTAACACGACCATTACCCTTTTCTGTAGAGGCATTGCTCATGAGATGATGAGAATCATTTTTTCCAAAGCTGACACTTTACTGTAAAGTTCAGTTTGTTAACCTAGGAATCATGAACTAACAATAGCATTTATTAATCTTGCTTACTATAATTTGTAGCTACTACAATTTTGTATACATTTTATGTTCTATATTAAATTAACATTACCTTCTAGGTACAGTATTTGTAAATTTGTTGAATGTCAATTTTCCAATGACAAGCTACATTTTTCATCTAGTAACAGGGTAGAGTGGCAAAATGCTACATAACTTTTCAGCACATTTTGTTACACATCACATTTATACTGTATCAAGTAAGACGAGGAAATAATCAAACTCATTCGCGTTCTCTCTCTCTCTCTCTCTCTTTCTTTCTCAAGGTTGAGAAGTCTGATTTATTTGAGTTAATTGATAAACCTGTTCATAAATGATATGCAGTTTTATCCATTCTTGCACAGAAGTGCATTATGTCTTCAAACCCGTTGCATTTAGCGTCATTTATTATACAAAGCTGAACTTTTAGGTTAAAGGAATCAATATAAGTTACTGGGATGAATCAAAATCCTTCTACTATTAAACTTGACTGCTTAATATGCCAGATTAATAGGCCTACTCTCATTGTAATGATAAATTATATAATCTAATAGAGTTTTTTATTTTTTTATTGCCACCCTAAAATAGCCTATAAGTGATCAATTGACTTAACTTAAAAAAGTGAGGAAACCCATTGCCTTAAAATTCTTAAGTAAATAAACGTCATAAATAAAAGTTCACACAACTTAATTACTTCAATTACGCATTAAGTTTATTACTTAAAAATGTTAAGATAAAGAGTTTCTTCACTTTTTTTTAAGTTCAGTCAACTGATCACTTATTACAGTGGAAGTAGCCATACTAGTGGTTTAACTACTTTAAATTGAGTATCTTGCAGCTTGGCACACAAGTTTCAGAGTAGCTTCCCCAACACTGCTCTGGAAAGCTAAATAATCTTGTTTAATAAAACTATTTGAAACATATTTGATTTATTTATTACCAAAAACGTTTTATAATCCTGTTTAATAATGTGAAATTGTTACAGAGTATATTGTAGAATATATTCATGCTTATTACTAACCTTTATACTTTATACTCTCTTTTTCCAGTTCTCTACATTAAAATATTTAGTAAATTGTATGCTGTAAGAAAAACAATGCGATTTTCTTTCTTGTGAATTAAAATAGTCATGATTAGTCCTATTTAAAAACATTTTTTTTAAAAATCATATTTTTAAATTCCAAACATGAAAGTCTGATGTTAACTCAGAGGTGGCGGAGGATCAAATGAAAGAGTACTTAAAAAAAGATTAGTTTCTCTCTCTTTCTCTTCCTTTAATGTGAATTAATGATAGTTTATACAGTGGTTGGATTGAAGTGATGCCTGCACATCTGTGTATTTAAGTAACACAGGCTCCCACAAAGGCGCTTTGAACTGTTTCTGCGGTGTTCATAAAATATTTTTAATTTAAAAAAAAAATTACAATGAAAAGAACTCTCAGACAGAACCAACTCAAAGTGTAAAACTAAACGTGCGAGCAAAAAGACACGTGCCTGAAGGTTCAGAGGTAGAACAACTCTAATATGAGCTCAGGAGAACAAATTATTTAGTATACCCCCCCCCCCCCCCCCACTCCCCTTTACTTTCTTCATCTTAATCAGGATGTTCATAAGACTTATTTTCCTTTCAGTTCTCTATAGGCAAGTACATGCACTGGCTTAGCAAGATTGTGCAATATTTTTGAGAGTGTATCGCTATCCCGTAGACTGGGTTGAACTCGATATAAAACAAACGATATAAATCCTCTCTTTTATATCCTTTCTTTATTTTCCATTTCTGTTTTTGAGATATGGAAGCCTGATAGTTTTGACAACTCTGGACCATGTGGCGTCAACTTGTGATGGCATCATGCTCAATACTGTGTCTGTCTCTATATCTCAGCACATCTTCCAGTGAAGATAGGGGCTTTACATTAAGAGCCTTCCTGAGGAACCGTAGGCTGAGGGGGAAATCTCAGCACTCTTGTGGTCCACTTAAAAAAAAAAAAAAAAAAAAAAAAAAAACCTGATGTGCAGAAAAGCATTAGCATTTTCAAACGATAATCATGATCTATACTACAAGCCTCAGTTACTAGAAAACAGTGAGAAGCAATGGAGAGTACAAAACAATGCCATATTAATATTTTTTTAAAAAATATTTGCATACTCCCTAAATCATAATACATAATACGTTACTGCTGTTAAAAAATTTGAAATCGATAATAATTTTTCAATGTTTTTTAAAAGAATTCTCTTATGCTTACCAAGGCTACATTTACTTGATCAAAAATACAGTAAAAACAGTATAATATTGTTAAATATTATTACAATTGAAAAAACTGTTTTTGATTTGAATATATTTTAAAACGTAATTTATTTCTGGATTGAAAAACTACATTTTCAGCAGCCCTATACTCCAGTCTTTAGTATCCATGACATGATTCTCATATGCTGATTTGGTGTTCAAGAAAAAGGTGTTTTTTTATGTTTTATGGGCACATTAGACATAATGATACTGAAAAAATTATATATTCTGTCTCCTAAACCAGAAAACATTTCTGCATTTTTATAGATTTCGAAAAAACATGATTATGATTTAAATGTTTTCATTGTGGGGACCAACAAATCTCCCTATAAGAACAAGGATTTTGGATATTGCCAACTTAGTTTTGTCCCCATTGGGTATACCTGAACCATACACACACACGCAGACCCCAGAAACATAAATTTTGGGCATGTCATTATTTGAGGAGAATCCACTTGTGGTATTGCTTGCAAGTAGACTCCACATTACAGTTTAACAATGGACACAATTGTTATTCTAAGGCAGCACCCCAAACCCTTTTCATTTTAGGTTTATTTATTCTCACAGTCTGCCCTACCATGAAGTCACCCAAACTTGTTTGTGTAATCTATATATCAGCATATTCTTTCTCCCGACATGGTATCAACAACATTTAGTATCAAGGTCCAAGAGGGCCGCTTTGATCCTGCTGCCAGCTCCCAACTCAAGCAGAATTTGCCAGATTGAGACCCTGCACTTGGCATGCATAACCCTGAAAAACCCCTGCATGCCCCACTGCTCTTGGGTTACACGGCTCCCCTCTTCCTCCAAACAGGGGGTGTCTCTTTCTGAGTGGGTGGGCTGGCCCTCTGCCGCTCACCTGCTGCGTCCAATAAAAAACTCTCTTGTGTCATGTGTCTTTGGCCTTGGGATAAACAGACAGTTTCCACAAGGCAGAGAACCTCTACAGACTTGATTTCTAAGTATTTGTTGTGGGTAACTATGAAGGAGCCAGTGCCAAAAAGCTGTGTGTTCAACACAGTTTTAATATATTTAAAAGTGTCTAATATATTTTCTCAGTTTTCGTAAAAAAAAAAAACCATTGGCTAAGACATTGTTTTCAGCATGGAGGGATCTGCAAAAGTACCTAAGCACTATCAAAATTCCTCACAACTTGGGATATGCATTTAATAATGCACAAAATACTGAATATTTCAAACTGTTCCAGCTTGTGTGAAAATCTGTTTAGCTTTTTTCTCAGGTCTTTGCGGTCACAAATGCAGAAGCAACAGATTTAGAGAGGATCTTTTTACACTATATTCTGACTATTTAGGTGAAAACAGAATTTCTGTAAACCTGTTAGAAGTTGTTTTGCAGAATAAGCGATCTGCCAGCAACACGATACAAACTGATTCATCAACAAGAAAATCTGAGCTCTCTTTTACAGTCTAAATGTTGTCTCTGTAAATTTAAAAACCAATCTCTCAGCCAGCACATACACATATGTTCAGACATACTTTTTTTTAAAAAGAGCCCAACTGTGGGATTGAAATTTTACACACTTAAAACATTACTGTTGGGTGAAAAGGGTTTCTCCACTTCCATCATAGGAGTCATGTCCCCTAAAGTGAGACTCTTGCCTTGTGGCATTCGTCTGGAGCCAACACCGAACCTGTGCTGACTGCAGCAGCTGTGTAGCTATACTGTTACATTCTCCTGGGCCGCCTAATTCCTAAAGTCCACCTTTCCAATTTAACACAAAGCACAGACTTTCTTGAATGTTAAATCTCCAGAGCCATTACTCTGCATGATTCAATATGCTCTGCCCATTAGTCTTCATTCATACTCAGCAAACTCTTCAGGTTCAAACTATTTGTCATTCATTGAGAAATGTGGACTCGTAGAAGTAGAGATTAGAAATTCTATAAACACTGGAAGACTTATAAAAAAGGATTATAGAGCTGAAACTGTAAAAGTTTGGCGACAAATAAAAACTGCTGTCACCTTGTGGGTTTTGTGTCTTGTTCCTTGTTCTTATCGGTCTTGTGATTCCCTGATTGTCATGTGATCCTGCCATGTGTCTTTTCTTTTGTTAATCATCTGATCGTTGTTCACAGGTGTTCCTTGTCACTTTGCTGCTTGTATCTGAAGGCTAGAAGAGTTTGGTTCGTTTAGTCAGTATACATCAATAAGATGCTATTTTTTGTGATAAGGCCTTTTTCCAAAGGATAAGGACTCAGGCTTTAATGTGGTAAACCAACGCCATCATTACTGGAATGGTAAATGATAAATGGACTGCATTTATATAGTGCTTTCACAGACTCAATGGCCACCAAAGCGCTTTACATTTACCTCACATTCACCCATTCACACATTCATTCATACACCGACGGCGGTGTCGGCCATGCAAGGTGCCATCCAGTTCGTCATGGACACTTCGACACTTGGATTGAACCACCAACCTGGTTTGTAGACAACCTACATGAACCACTGAGCCACATGCCACCCCTATTGTTCTTTGTGACCAACACAGTCTCATCCCAAAAAGTCATATAACTGACGTCTTGGGACATCTTTTGACCATATGTCAATATCCGCCTTTTTAGGGCCCCCTTAAACGTCGGTAGATGGCGATCCCGGGCCGTTATACAACTGACGCTTTACCTTTAACGTCAGTTAGGTGACGGGTTAGGTTTAGGTTTAGGTCTGGGGTAGAGTTAGGATCCCATAACCTCATCTACCGACGTTTAAGGGGGCCCTAAAAAGGCGAATATTGACGTATGGTCAAAAGACGTCCCAAAACGTCAGTTATATGACGTCTTGGGA